CTTAAGTTACAGACGACTATGTATGTACGCGTCTATATCTGCCTGCGAATCGAGCTCTCGTTTTCATGTGAATACTTTCTCGAAAGGAACACACCCAAACACACGAGCGTCGGGCGCGTCTCAGCCGGTCTCCGCGAGTAATTTTTTTATTTCACTCTTCTCGGCGAATAGCTAAGTAAAAAAAAAAAAAAAAAAAAAANAAAAAATAAAATGACAAATGAACTCCGTCGAGATTGTTTATTCAAAACCAAAGTGCAAAATTGATTTTATGACGATATCGACAGACAAATTTCTTCGAAATCGAAGGATAGTCAAAATGCTAGCCGATTCGGTTCGAGGTGCATATCTTGGGTCTTGCCATTTCGGGCGAAAAGGTCGATACGCGTAAGGGGAGTCCCCGTTCACCGTGTGGTCACAACTCGGCGTGCAAAAACGCGGGGGCGTTGTGACAGGACCTTGTCGCGGCCCACACGCAGGGACGTACCCGAGGATTTTACGAAAAGTCAATTTTAAAGCCGAAGAAAGCACATTCGCCGATGACGCATCGCAAAGTCGCTAAACTTCAATGTGTAAAGAGATTTACAACAGTGTATTTTAATAAAAAAAAAAAAAAAAACGTCAGTTTCAAAAAATTTCTGCAAAAACAGACGTTACTTCGATTTTATAGCGTTTTAATTATATTCGAGTCTTGTGAAACGAAGATGGTATCTGAAGCGCAATAATAATCGGACCGTTCGAGCGAATAAAGTGGACCTTTTCTTGCGCACTCTTTCCGTCGCGACTTTTGCGATAGCACTATAACAGCACTTTTGCCGCGTCTCTCCGCGTTGCGGAACGAAGTGTCTCAGCCAACTATGAAGTTCTTATCTGACACGCGTCTTATGCCACCTGAGCAGGTAACCGTGATACGCCCGGAGATTCAATTTATTATTTTCATATTGCATTCTTCGCGAAATGCACGCGACACTTTTCCAATTACTTTACTTTCTTGACGTCGGCTCTTATCTCGCATTAAACTTTCTGCGTTTCGTTACAGAACAGTCAGCTTCTCTGACGGGCTGAAACGCTTACAGCCATCTGTCTTGCAAAGTAACAGATATCAGTTGAGCGGAATCGGTTCTAAAGTGATATTTTCTTCCCGCACTTAGTAGCTACGATATGCAAAATGCGGAAGTTACATTTTTTACGCTCGTTAAAAATGCGTTTGTTCACTTTTCATCCATATGTATATATATATATATACAGGGTGTTTCAGAACTATGGGATCAAACTTCTAGGGGTTATTCAGTGCAACAGTAGAAAACATTTGAGTATAGGGACCCATGTCCGGAAAAGTGTCACTACCGCACTACGGCCCTAAGACGCGTTAAAAT